CTTACCTGCATAGGCAGTTTTTTGGTTAAGATGCACTATACCTTTAAAGTACAGCCCCATATACAGAGGGCAGCATTATTCTGTCTATGGTAAAACATAGAGAGTGCAGAGGGCAGGAGCATTTTGTGTACGGTCTACCATACAGAGTGCAGAGGGCAGGAGTATGTTGTGTACAGTCTACCATACAGAGTGCAGAGGGCAGGAGTATGTTGTGTACAGTCTACCATACAGAGTGCAGAGGGCAGGAGTATGTTGCATACATTTTACCATACAGAGTACAGTGGTCAGTATTATGTTATTTACAGTCTACCATACAGAGTGCAGAGATCAGGAGTATGTTGCATACAGTCTACCATACAGAGTGCAGGGGTCAGGAGTATGTTGCATACAGTCTACCATACAGAGTGCAGAGGTCAGGAGTATGTTGCATACAGTCTACCATACAGAGTGCAGGGGTCAGGAGTATGGTGCATGCAGTCTACCATACATAGAGTGCTTGGTCAGAATTATGTTGCATACAATCTACCATGCAGAGTGCAAAGGTCAGGACTATGTTGCGTACAGTCTACCATACATAGTGCAGTGGTTAGGATTAGGTTGTGCACATTCTATCATACAGAGTGCAGAGGTCAGGAGTATGTTGTGTACAATCTACAATACAGAGTGCAGTGGTCACGTTTATGTTGCATACAGTCTACCATACATAGTGCAGTGGTCAGGAGTATGTTGCATACAGTCTATTATACAGATAGCAGTGGCCAGGAGTATATTGTGTATAGTTACTATACAGAGTGCACTGGTCAAGAGTATGTTGCATACATTCTACCGTACAGAATGTAGAGGTCAGAAGTATGTTGTATACAGTCTATCATACAGAGTGTAGCATTCAGGAGTATGTTGCATACAGTCTACTATACAGAGTGCAGAGGTCATGATTACTTAAAACAGAAGTGTAATTGCACAGCACTTGCAAAAATGTCTGCTGTTGACCCTTCCATGCCCAATCCCAGCCTGGGGGCAGGAAAGTAACCCAGCTGTATTGCTATCTTTAAGGAAAGAATAGCTAAAATCAAATCCTTTGGCAGGAAAAACAGTTCCTATATATGTTCTGAAACATTTTATTTAGCTGGTAGCCCCAAATTTAGCTTTAACAACTATGCCAGCACCTCACTAAACCCAAAACATACACTTTGCATGGAATTGTGCTTTATATTTTGTCCTTGAAACCAGCCTTCTAAAACTCAGTAGCCACAAACTTAGCCTATTTTTGTCACGGCAGGTTCCTCACAGCCAATGCATAATGATGTGAGCGATAACGTTTTTGACAGCTTTGGACCGGTAACAAAATAAGGATAGTAATACACACGCAAAAAAAAAAAAAAAAAATAGAACGACTCCATCAGCACACAGATTTACAATTTAGGGCTCTGAGTGTCATTGTCACTGTAACATGCTGATTTTAAGCCTCACACCAACATGCCACATTCCCCTCAATTTCTTTTAATATGGTACGCTGGCAGCCTACAACAGCACAGAAAGAAATATGTCACTGGATCTCAGGGGATAAATGTCCTGTTTGAATTCCGCCAGATATCTGCAGATTTAAATATATGGAAATATTTTCTCTCATTACCACCTTTGAAACACAATGACACTCTGCAGTCTTGTCAGCTGTTATTGTCAGCCCCATTTAAAAGTGATAAGTCTTGCTATTAGGCCATAGTGTGTTGGGAAACGATATTATTATTATATTTCTTTTTTTTTTTTGTGAGAGAAAAATATTCTAAACATAGATGACAGCTCTATACTAAGAATAAAAAAATAAAAAATAAAAAAAATCTTGGTGTTTTAAAATAGGGCAATATATTTGTAACAGCTCTTCCTAGGTCCATGTATCTTCTTTATTGTTCTTCATAAACAGGCGATTGGATTTTCTCGGCTCGTGGTGTTGAAAGAATTTCCTCTCTATCCTCACCTCTGTTATCTCATAATTGTCTTGTTCGGAGGAAGCAGGGAAGGGCAATATAAATGGCCGTGCTCCTTTCCACTAGATGTCCTTTCCAAACTGTTCTTCTCATATATCTCCCTAATGGCAGCTGTTGTCGTTTCCTACAAAAAAAAAAAAAAAAAAAAAAGAAGTCATCTGATTTATTTTTATTCAAGGGGAACACAGAGCAATTTTTGGAAGATGTTTATATTCCAACAGCACTCAGTAGAGTTAGGCATTGGTGAGTAGGGTTATTATTTTCTCTGCCTCTCTATGGACATGATGAGAGATTAAGTCAGTGTAGGGTTGTGTAGTCCTCTATGGATAAGTTTTAGTCAGGAAAAATATAGAATTATTGGGAGGCCTGTTTCATGATGACATGTGAAAAAGAAATCAGTCTGTGCATAGAAAACGACTTTTCTCTGTATGATCTTACTTGGCCCCGTAGTTTTCTTCTTCGTGTCTTTGGAGGAAAGATGAAAAGAAGAAGCCGCTTACAGGGGATCTACACACTCCCCCATCCTTTGTATTCTTTAAACAATTTACCATACTTTCTTCTGCACAGTCCAGATACCCACTCACCAGAGTTGTCCTGCTGAGATTCTCTTTTCTTTTGCCACCCCTCAGTGCCACCCCGCTCCAGAGTTGTCCTGCTGAGATCCTCTTTTCTTTTGCCACCCTTCAGTCCTGTGCCTCCATGTTGTTGGTGGCACAGGACTGAGGGGTCATCCTTGGGAGTCTGCCGGTTCTTCCAGTTTCAGCCAGCCTTCTGATGATGTGCTGCTAGGTCTGCCCCCTCCTCCTTTACTGAATTAAAGGCTATGAACCAGGGGCGGACTGACAACTCATGGGGCCCCCGGGCAATACGGGATCATGGGGCCCCTGTGTCCTTGCCCAAACTCAAAAAAGCCTATGAAAAAGGTACCAGGGGCATCTCATGGGGCCCCCTACTGACCCTGGGTCCTTGGGCAGTGCCCGAGTTTCCAAATGGTCAGTCTGCCCCTGCTATGGACATTGTGAGCTTGTGTGCAGGGCCACAAGGATAATACCCAAGTTGGAGAATGGTACACAAAGTCCAGAGAAAGGCTGAACAGTTATTATGTGTTGTTGAGCTGTAGGTAAAACAGATAAAAAGTTGATCAACAATTGGCAATCACTAGCACTAGTAATGTGGCTTCAGCAACTGCAGCAGAACACTTGAGGTACCAGTTTGGGACACTGTTGTAGTAGTGAGTACAGTACCACTGACAGTACAGGTGCAGTAGTACTGGTAGTGAAGGTCACAGTAATGCTAGCAGTACATTGGTAGATCTTCAGCATCTATCACATTACTGGAGCAGCATCTGCAAGAAGGGTGGCCGGCAAACAGAGTGGTGGTACAAGCGACAATTACAGGAGCTGTGTAGGTCCTACCCAGGGGCGGACTGACCATTTGGAAACTCGGGCACTGTCCGAGGGCCCGGGATCAGTAGGGGGCCCCATGAGATGACCCTGGTACCTTTTTTATAGGCTTTTTTGAGTCTGGGCATGATCCCCTATTGCCCGGGGGCCCCATGAGTTGTCAATCCGCCACTGGTCCTACCACGTAGTACCGGAGACCGAAGGACAGAAGAGCAGATAGCAGTGTCCCCGATCTTTTGTTCCTCAGACAGCAACCTTTCAGTAAGGCTAATTCACTGTCACTGGAAAGTGTGGGTTCTCTCCCTACTCTATGCACATGCAACTGCATGTCACCTTCTACTTATTAGCACTACCCATGCTATAGGTTGCCTCCAAAGTTAGCTTTTGTTGCAGTGTTCAATCAGACCACTGCTCCCCTGGTGACACCTACGGAGTCTACAGAGGAACAATATTCTGCTCATCCTCCACTCCATCTGTACAGCGCCACAGCAACACAGCACCACCTACAGAATGGAGGGTAAACTGCACCTGCCTACAAGCTTCTCACAGTGTGCATTAGAGGCTGCAGCAAGACAGACAAATTAAGGTTTTTTTTTTTAATCTGGAGGTTCAGTATCACATGTGGGTGTTCATGTTTTCAGGACGGTATATACAGCACCTTGCTGTGCCTTTCCACCCACCATGATTGACTGTATTGCAAATAGAAGCACAGGGAGCCAGTGATGATGTCTGGGTCTAAAATAAGGTATGTCATGAAAAGGGACACCACTCCATACATCCTCAACTTGTCATTTGGGGACTATTAGGGTGCTGACTCCAAAAGCCTATCTCCTCTCCAGCATGAGAATGTATACATGATGAGAGTTTGCAAATGGTAAAGACTTATGCGCTGCTATGTTCCAATTAAAGTGATAATATCAGGGAAGAGGTTTGCTGCACTCATTACTCTGGTGTAACCCGAGCTCACACTCAAAATTAAATAAATGAAACCTTACCCTGCGCAGGTGTGGTGCGCTATCTCCTCATAAATAAAACCATTTTAATTTTTTTTTTTTTTTAACATAAAGTGACAGTCCAAAGATTCTTTCTGCTTGGAAACTGTGTAAAAAGAATTATGATACTGAACGTCCAATCCAGTACATATTGTGTTAACATCCAGTAATAATCAACACCGTGCTTGAATTGTGGTCCCACTCCCTGCTCACTTTGACCATTGACCTATAAGTTATAACAGGCCAAAAACACTTTATAAGGAAAATGTGTCCAAATTGCTGATCCGTGACATGTTCCTTCCACGTATTATGCCTCTTTAACCATTTGCCTACTGGGCACTTTTACCCCCTTCGTGCCCAGGCCAATTTTCAGCTTTCAGTGCTATCGCACTTTGAATGACAATTGCGTGGTCATGCAACATTGTACCCATATGAAATGTTTATAATTTTTTTGAGACAGATAGAGCTTTCTTTTGGTGTTATTTAATCACCTCTGGGCTTTTCATTTTTTGCTAAACAAACCAAAAACCACTGAAAATTAAAAAAAAACACCTTTTTTCTTAGTTTCTGTTATAAAATTTTGTAAATAAATGATTTTTTTTCTGCTTCACTGATGTGTGCTAATGAGGCTGCAGTCATGGGCACTGATAGGCAGCACTGGTGAGGAGGCACTGATGGGCATTGACAGGCATCACTGATGGGCACTGAAAGGTTAGCACGCATATATGGCACTCATAGGCGGCACTGATAGGCAGCACTGACTGGCACTGATAGGAGGCACTGACTGGCACTGATAGGCTGCACTGACGGGAACTGATAGGCAGCACTCATGTGCACTGATAGGTGGCACTGACTGGCACTGATAGGCAGCACTGATAGGCGGCACTGACTGGCACTGATAGGTGGCACTGATGCGCACTGATAGGTGGCACTGATGGCACTGATAGGTGGCACTGACTGGCACTGATAGGCAGCACTGATAGGCGGTACTGACTGGCACTGATAGGTGCCACTGACTGGCACTGATAGTTGGCTCTGAAAGGCAGCTCAGATGGGCACTGATATGTGACATTGATGTGCACTGGTAACACTGCTCTGAAGGAAAAAGTGTGTGTGCTTTTACTGCTTCTATTAGAAAACCAAGTCCACAGTTTGATATATGCAAGGATTTTTGCTTCAGTTCTGCATTTAAAGTGTTACTAAACCCCGGACCCTGCATTCACTATATTGGGTCTCCCACAGTACACTAAACATAGAAATGCAATCATTTTAGTAAATATAAACTGCTAAATACCTTTTCTCATCAGCAGTTACAGCAGTCTTGTGACTTCTATCAGTGTCCAGCAGAGCACTGGTTAAAGCTTGTAGGAGGAGTTTTCATTTTCCCCTGGTTGCTCTATGAGGCTGCATAACCCCTGACCCACTGTCTAGACAGTGCTGATTGGCCCTGATCACATGCACTCTCCCAAGAAAAAATAACTCTCTAGCAATGCACACCACACTGAGCATGTGCAAAGGCCTCTTAGGGATCTGTACTATTAGCAGATGGGTTGGGGACAGAAGAAGGGGGGGAGGGAATCAGAGAAGACAGGATCTAACAGAGGATTAACTCCTTAGTTTCCACAGTGAGTATAACAAGCATGCTTTACTGCATACACAGACTGATTTTACTGTTGTGGGTTTAGTAACACTTTAACTGTTTCTACCACAAGTCCACAGTTTGTTATATATGAGGACTTCTGCTTCAGCTTTATAGAAAGGAGATCGCTGTCCCGACTTGTACATAGTTTCTGTTTTTCCAGTACCCCACTCAATTCCCTCAACCCTGTCCAAGTTCTCCAAAAATAAAAACAACAAAAATAACACCCCTAGACTGGTTATTGAGGAAAAAAAAGTGACTGTGTTCCTGCGCCTGGCTGTCCACTGGCAAAGAACCTGGGCAAATTTAGAGCTGCTCCTATGGGAGCAGGGGTGGACTGACCATTTATGCACTCCGGCACTGCCCGAGGGCCCGGGGTCAGTAGGGGGCCCCATGAGATGCCCTTGGTACCTTTCATAGGCTTTTTTGGGTGTGGTTTGAGTGTGGGCAAGAACACAGGGGCCCCATGATTTCCTATTGCCCGGGGGCCCCATGAGTTGTCAGCCCGCCCCTGTACGGGAGTAAACGATACATAAAAAAAGCAAATATGATAATTTTTCTTTTTTTCTTTTCAGAAACATAGGTTAACTGATACAAATCTGTTTAAAATGCACATTTAAATGTATGTAAACGAATACAAGGAAAATGATGTTAAAGCTTGTTAATGTATAGTATGAAAAAGTATACGAAGTGTTAGGACTCATTCACATACATAGCAAATTTGTAATTGTGTTTAGAGAATGTAGACGTGCAGTACAGGCTTATGCTAATGTGCTGTATCCAAAAATAAGGGTGATGTTAAAAGCTGCGCCATTCACATAGATAACAGCTTCATGTTGCAATGTAAATGTAAAATAAGTGTTTACATGTGTTGTTCATGGAAGCAAGAGTGTGAATTTTCATGGAGATTGCTTTACGAAACACAAGTAAAATAATGTTTTAGTTTGAACTATTTTTTTTTCCCTAAGAGCACTTCTAATGTAACTATGCAAAACTAGCCAAACCTGTAATTCAGCTTTAGAGTGCTTTTACCCTGTTATGCTGCGGTATGGCTACAGAGCATTGCACCTGTGCTTTTCATGCAGGTGACCTACTCTTTTATATTGGGTGTTTTTGGTGCGTTTTATGAAAGTGCACCACGTCTTGCATGCTGCATCTTTGGTACGCTTTAAGAAAATGGACAAAAAAATGGACGAACTAATGGAAGTCTATGGAAAAGTGCAGGTAACCAGCATGAAAACCACCTGAACGGAACACTGCAACCACGCAGCAGGATGAAAGTGCTCTAAAGCTGAATTCCCAGTATCACTATTTTTGCATAATTCCAGCTTGGACCAACGTAATTATGCATGTGTTTTACCTGGAAGATCCCCCTGGCAGCTGAAAATCACTAGTAGGCACTTCCAGGTCCTATGCTGAGTGTCTGTCCTACTGCTTAAATAACACAAAAAGTCGTCCACTTGGCACGGGCGCCATTCAAATTTCCTTCTGTATGGTCTCAATGAATATAAAGTATCCTCTGATTGGATGAGGTGGAGATTGTGACATCACCAGTCTGCCTCTTCACCTTGCCCAGTCAGAGAAAGCTTTGCATTGCTCTGCGCTGCAAAGCAGGGAGAAAAAACACAGCCACATATATTAGTAAAAGCAGCACATATTACACACATTACACATGTTAGGCACACAGTTAACCCTTTGATTGCCTATAGATGTAACCCCCTCCCAGCCAGTTTCATTAGTACAGTGACAGTGTATAGTATTAGCATTGATCACAGTATTAGTGTAATTATTGATATCAGTGTCAGTTAGCCAGTTAGTGTTCCTCCCAGCCAGTGTCAGCTAGCAGAAGATTGCCAGACACACTATCACAGTCCTACTATAAGTTGCTGATCACCGCCATTACCAGTATAGCATCATAGCTGCGTAAATTCCAGTATATATACCATAGTTTATAGACGCTATACTTTTTTAAACCAATTAATATACACTTATTGGGATTTTTTTTTACCAAAGACATGTAGCAGAATACACTTTGTCCTTAATTTTTGAAGAAATTAGATTTTTTGATTGGACATGTTTTATAACATTCAGCTTACTTTCTTATCCTGCAAAAAAGAGGGGTTGTGAAAAAGAATTCACAGAAAAGTGTGAATTCTTTTTCACAACCCCTCTTTTTTGCATGCATGTTTTTTGGTTACTGGGCAGAAACCATATATTGGGTGATACAGTATATTTATGAACCTCTACCCTCTCTTATTCTTTTTTTACTTTCGTATCCTACCTGGTGAGGTTAAACTCTGGGCTGTGCCGAGTATGAGGATTTGGTCACTTTAGGTTGAATCACCCCTCTGCTTCTTATATACTTCAGAGACTTCAGCTAAAAGGTTTTCTTGCAGTAGTCTGTGTCTCAGTCCATTATCACAAATCCATAACAAAGCCATTAGGAGAGTATAAAAACCATCATTTGGCTTGTAATTACCATTGCAGTTGGTCGGAACTATGAAGTTGTATGGAGATTTCTTAATTAGAAATGGTGCTCATGCGCTTATGGATGTGCAATACTTAACAATTTGATAAAAAATGGAAAATTGGACTATTGCAGCATTCCTAAAAAAAATTGTGCAATGCTACTACCTTTTGTACCACTAGCCCCTCCCTCTTAGATTGTAAGCTCCAAGGAACCCTCTTGCATTGAACTATAATGCTGCTGTATTGTCTCCCGTTATATTGTAAAGCGCTGAGCAAACTGTTGGCGCTATATAAATCCTGTATAAAAATAATAATAACATTTATAACAACCACAATACATAAATAATAAAACTTTAGGTGGGCCATGCATTAGTATTATACATATAATCATGGGCATATGACTCAAACATTAACCATTCTAGTAATACACAACATAGATTGCCGTTATTAAAGACCCAAATGGTGAACGTGCCTGTGCTTGTGCTCCAACTTGGTTGAAGTGCTTATTTTCTTCAATTAATTCAAATTGCTCCACTGTTCTCAAAAAGGTGCCCCACATGGACTTAAAGTCACCTTTAGCCGATGACCATCTATTTCTAGAGTGGTCTGCAATACTTGTGGGGCTTTACCCAATGAAGTTGGTTCTCTCCAGATTACCGCAAGTTCAAGACAGACATATCACAAAGAAAGCAAAAAGGGTTATCCCATAGTGTAAAACCGTATGATGTTTTATTGAAGAATAAGTATAAGAAATATCACTTACAAGTAAAGCGCCTGTGCACGGTACCTGGTGTACTCAGCCTTATTATTAGTGTGTGGAAGTCACTGTGCTAAGCACTTCTTAGAGCGGCGTGTGTTCCATAGGCCAGATGTGACGTCAGCGTAAGTTGAGTCATCAAACCTCGACACGTTTCGATCATCCTCAGGAAGTTCAGGTGCATAAGATTAATGTTTGAGTCATATGCACGTGATTATATGTATAATACTAAAGTGCGGTCCGCCTAAACTTTTATTATTTATGGAGATTTCCCCTACCCAAATTTCCAAGAGATATGGGAAACCACATGGATCAACTTATATATAGTAAATATTTAGATAAATAGTCTTAGATGGCCTGTGGAACGCTCTTGTATGGCATCTTCCTTCCCATACTCCGATACTCCATGACTTAAAATCTCCAGAAGGGGAGAAGTAAATTTAACAGAACTGCTAGTTTAGGACTCTGAAGTGTTGCCAGAGAAAGCAAATGGGTTTTATGGCCAATACCATTCCAGCTCCAGTTTCCACCTCCTGGAGGAACAAGCAGAGGTAAAAAGGTAGGGTTCTCTCTGAGTCACTGTGTGAAATTTTTCTTTTTAAAAACATTTGTTTATCTAATTTTATCTTATTATCTAATTATTAGTAGAGTCAAATTGAGGCCACTAATGAGATGGTTATTGAGAGAGAGAAAGATGGTTATTGCACTGGAGGTTTGTCTGAAACAGACTAGAATAGATTGAATGTGCAAAATATTTTGTTTGAATATTTTGTGATGGACATACAGTAACCCTGTGCAGGAAGCTTATCCTTTATTACATTGCCTGCAGCAATAATAATGGACTGAACACCCTTAAACTGATGCCAGGAAAGTGGGCTTATTTTTACTTTTTGAAATCTATATATTAGAGAAAGTTGGGTTGAATCCAGTTTTGCTCGATTAGATGTGTGCATCTCATTCATCCTTTAAAGAAAAAAAAAATACTTGATTATAACCAAATATTTAAATTGCTTATTCTTATAGGAACGACCAAGGACCCAATTCTCCTCTGGAATGTATTATTCCTTAATGGATTCAAAAGGATTTCAGGGGCTTTTTAGCGCCATGTACTCCCCCGCACACTACCTAATACTTGCAAACAACAGAA